AGAGTCATTTGTTATTTTCTTCATGTTGTACTACTATCCCCATGACAAACTTACATTATGATAGAGAATTTTTGTGCCTCTTTATCCCCCTCACCCTTTCCCCACCCATTCGAACACCTCCCCCATGGTAACTATTAGTTACTTCTCAATACCTATATAGAGTCTATGCTGTTTTGTTCATTCTGTTTTGCTTTGTGTTTATACTCCACAAGTAAGTGAAATATTATGATATTTGTCTTTCTCCACCTGGCTTATTTCACTGAGCATAATGCCCTCTAGATACATCCATTGTTGCAAATAGCAGGATTTCTTTCTTTTTTTTATGGCTGAATAATATCACTTAAATAATCTTTTGATCTTTATGATAACCCTGTGAGGTGATTATTAACACTTGTTTGACAGGTGAAGACACTCAGACTCTTAGAAGTTAGGTAGCCCAAGGTCACATAGCTAGAAAATGGCAGAGCCAAGCTCAATCACTGTACTATGTTACCCACTACCTTAAAATTTTTAATTCTTAATTAAGGCTACTATCTCTTTTGTTATTTTTGCCAAATATTACTTACTGTAAAAGCCATCTGGGAGAATCGTAAAAACCTAGGCCATAAAAACCCCCAAAACAGAAAACAAAACAAAGCAGTAAATTGTCTAAAAGGAATTTGGCACTACTCTCAATGTCTGAATTATACTTCTTGCCCAGACAGCGATCAACTGTGTTGCCCAGAGGTGGGGTTGGTTTCCAAGAAGACTCATATTCTCAAACCCAGATTTTGAATTGGAATAAGTTTTTCTATAGGCTCAGGGAGATAGTGGAAATACTCATGCATGAGTTAAACATAATAATAAAACTGATAGAATGGTAAAAAAATACTTAAAGATATTAGTTTTTATAGTGTTTAGGTACATTAATTGAGTGCATACTTATGCTGACTACTGTAAGCACTACACTATATATTGGCTCAAATAATTCTAGTAGCTCTGAAGGTATCCTCATTTGACAGGTAAAGAATTAAAGCATGCTATTTTTAATTATTATAATTTTTTAATCAATTATTCCTTGATCACAGGAACTGTGTCTCTTTATCTTTGTATCCCTATTGCCTAGCACAGTTTTTGTTACAGAGAAGGCCTCAGTGACTGTTTTTTGATAATCTATAAGTGAATATTTGGGAGGCTTGGAATACCCATATTCATATCTTAACTCCTATAGGAAAGCATTAAGATTTCTAGAATTTTAACTTTGTCAACATTATTAACATATTTAGAGAATGTTTTGAAATTTAGTTTTATACACTTTGGGGTTGTTTTTCTTAGAGAAGATATGGATTCAACTTTCCCTGATATGTGCAAAACCAAACAAGTTTACAGATAATTACCATATAAGTAGATAAAGGTGGTAAAGGTCTAAAACTATGGTGTTTGTATGAGAAAGAAAAAGAGAGAGAGATTGCTAATCCAGATTAAAGAGATCCTTGAAGACTTTCCCAAATCAGTCCCACGTGAGCTGAACTTTGATGGCCTGCAAAAGTTGGCCACCTGAAGGAACAGTGGCTGCCAGGGAGCAGGAGGTTAGGAAAGCATTGCCTGTGGGAGGGGCAGTAAACCTGTGCAAAGACCTGCAGGCAAAAGACTTGGCTCATTTTGGAAACTTCAGATAGTTTTACCTGGTTGCAAGTTAGAACTGGAGGGAGGGAGAGTGCAGAGAGATGATGTTAGATGAGGTTAGATGAGGTTAGAGAGGAGAGTTAGTGTTCACCTTGTGAGCTAGTTTTTCCTAAAGGTAGTTTAGATTGCATCCTGAAAACAGCATGATAGAGATCCTCAGAGTTGGCCAGAGGACCAGAAATGAGACGCAGTTATTATTGTAAGAGAGAGACACCTGCCAGCACAGTGCAGTGACTGAAGTGACACCTTCTGTTGTTGTGGAGGACATATATATCCCAAATCATTTTACTTACCTGTTACAATATTAGAAGAATTCCAGCAGATTAGGTTTTCTGGTCACTGTAAAGGATAATATGCAGTTAAAATATAAGTTTCCATTGGTCTGTACCAAATATTGTTAATGTTGTTAGAGCCATCCCTGAGAGTCAGTTTACTTCTGTCCATGAAACAGACACGTGACTCTGATCAATTGATATCCTGAGAAGATACTATAATTCTTTTGTTTTCAAACCATTATATGTTTAAAATAAAACAGAGTTTTCATTGCTTTCTTGAAAATTAATTTTAAAATTCATATGCTATGAAATTATTTTATATTTTAATAGAGAGAACAGAAGGAGCCAAAGGTAATATGAGTAGAGAATAAAATCAGAGTGCCTAAAAATATTTAAGGCTATAACTTTAAGTATTATGTATCAATATACCTGTTCACTCTTATTTCTCATCCCCTACAAACAAAAATGAACCTAAATATTCCCATTTTAAGCTATTTAAAAATATCTTTAGAAGAGAAAGAACCATAGTGTTGCTTAAGATGTTCTACCACTTAACCTGTGTCTTTAAACTTACTTCCTAAAATTTAATGTCCTTATTTTTTCCAAATAATTGTATAGCCTGCCATATATTAAAAGAAAATCTGTGATTCATTCCATAGTCCCTTTTGCAAGCTAAACTTCTATTTTCTGGATTTTAATCATTTGATTTTCCTCTCAGGATTCACCATGATACATAAACCCTCTGTAAGCGGTAGAATCCTGAGTTACATATGTTGAAAGGAAGAATTAGTAATAGATTTAAGAAGAGAATTATCTTTCAGCTTTGTGTTTTTATTGTCTTTTTTAGGAATTTGGCTGTTGTGCCCAGTCAAAAAGAACATTTACAGTGGTAATGGCAGTTTAGCTTATGGAGTAGTATAGTCTAATTGTATTTGCTTTATAAGAATGGCATATTATTACTCATGATGTTATTGCTAGATACATAATGTGATTATCTTTTAAACAAGATTTTTCTAAATCTAAATTTTCCATAATCATTCTAAAAGATGAAACTTCTCAACCATTTTTTCTTGCTTACAGTGAATTATTAACACATTTAATTGTAATGTCAAAAGTTTGAATCACTTACTATATAAACAATAGTGTTATAAAACTTACATGTTATAATTGTTATTTTAATATTTTTAATAGAAAATTATCCATGGTCAGAAAAACGTCTTTAGGTTTTTAAACTTTTATTTTCTTCGATAACAATTCTTAAAGTATTGTACTTTTTTCTGCAGATTGATCATACAGCTGATGCAAGTTTTTTGGGCTGGGTTATTGCTTCATTTAGTCTTGGCCAAATGGTAGCTTCACCTATATTTGGTTTGTGGTCTAACTATAGACCAAGAAAAGAACCTCTTGTTGTCTCCATCTTCATTTCGGTGGCAGCCAACTGCCTATATGCGTATGTCCACGTCCCAGCTTCTCATAATAAATACTACATGTTGGTTGCTCGTGGATTGGTGGGATTTGGAGCAGGTAATATGTATGTATGTTTATGTTTGCTATGTCAGACTTGCATTTATGGCCCATTGTCACCTGGTGTCACAACTTCTGTCTCAGATCACACAGTTCAACATAAAGGTCTCATTGCAAGCAGACGAATCTTTCCTGCCACTTTGCCTTTGCTAGTAATGTTCCCATTACCTATGGTTTCTCTCTTCTGTTCCCATCATTTTTCATCCTTCAAGATTCAGTTCAAATTCTGCATCTTCCATGAAGCCTTTTAAGCTACCCTACCCTTAACGCATCTTTCCCTTCTCCCGCATGTCTCTGGCATTTGCTTATATATTCCTTTGCACTGTTTTCATTCTATATCACCATCCAGATAGTAGACATTTTGTAAGTAGACACAGTTTATGACTTTAAAAAATATTCTGTGGACCTTAGCAGAGTCTCTTAAACATAAAGAGTGCTCAATAAATTGTTTAAAAATTGTTTGTGGATTTCTTTTTCTGTTTCTTATAATACAGCTCTAAGCATGCAGTTTGTAATATCTTTTTTTTTCACAAATAGTTGTGGCAATCAGTATTAGGACAGTCACTTAGCCCTTTCTCAGTATTTAATAATAAAAAAAGTTTAACATTTATTCCTGTAATGCCACTTTTTTATTCATTCAAATCTTTAACTGTGTTTTCATATTACTGAAAGTAGTATTTTCCATTAATTCATTTACTTAATATATATGATCACAAAGAAGAAGCAATGACTATGTTATAGGTTAATATATCTTCTGTATAAAGCCAAATTAAGTTGAATTTTATAAATGGAAGGGTATTTTCTCTTACTTTGGATTATTGTATTGTTTCTTAGGAAACGTAGCAGTTATTAGATCATATATTGCTGGTGCCACTTCCCTTCAGGAAAGAACTAGTGCCATGGCAAACACAAGTGCATGTCAAGCATTAGGTTTTATTTTAGGTCCAGGTAGGTATTTTTTCATTTGTTACTACTTGAATTTGAATTGAGAAAATTTTTGAGGTTCAAATATTAAATGAAATCCACATGTAAAGCCACCTAACTGCAGAAGAAGGAAGGGAAACTAATATTTTTTTGATCTGGTTCTGTGACTAGGCTCTTTTATGTGTTAACTCAAGTCCTCTAAAGTAAGTGCTATTAGCCCCATTCTACAGAGCAGGACACCAAGGCATGAAGAATCTGAGGAAATTATCCAAGGTCAGTTGGATAGGATAGTAAGTGGGAAATCTGAGGTTCAGACCTAAGTGATTCCAAATGGTATGTCCTGTGAAATAATCACTTAGCTTGACATCTCTGCTGGAGTTTACTTTCTTTTTCTGTTTGTTAGAAACAATTCTTTTGACTGAAGGATTTGAGGAAAGTTATTGGAGGTTCTTCACCCTTTTGCCTTTTACCCTACCTTTATGACTTTTCTAAGTTTGAAGAAAACGAGTTTTAAAAAGACTTACTATTTTCTTCCTCTCCAAAGTCCATCCATTAGCTGAGTATAATCAAATAGTAGTGAGATTTAATACTTCCCTAAGGCCAAATAATTTTTTGCTGAGTAGAGAAATTAGTAATTTTTATGCCTAGAATAACACTGAAAAACCATATAATCGGTCATGCTTTGAATATTGCAGTTATGATATCATCAGTTGGAGTTCAACTCAGTTTACTTCATCACTGACACCCCATCCTCACCACAGTTTCCACTACTGCCTCCTAGTTAGCCAAGGAAAAGCTCAACTGAAGAGAATCTAATTTATCAAAAACCAAAATCTAACATTTCCATTTAGTACTTCAGATTAATATGTAAGCACAAGGTAGAATAATTGGAGCTACTGCCATATTATAATATGTGAGGACAGAGCCTGGGTCTTTTTTATTTACCACTCTTCCCTATATATTTATCACTGTGCCGTATACAGTACAGTACCTGGTATAGACTTAGGTTCTCAGTAAGTACCTTGACCCCCTAAAATGTACTTTAAAGATTATCTTGTATTATAAATGAATAAGTATAGGCCTGAAAAGATTAGATGACTTTTCTAGTAATAAGCAATTTCCATAAACAGCATCAGTAAGCACTACCACGTACCGAGTGTCTCCTACACTAGATGTTCTCCTAAGTGTCCTAGATGCCGTGTCTAGCTTCATCCTCACCCTAGGCTTACGTGTCAGTTATTGGGAGAGCCAAGATCAGAATCTAAATCAGGGGAGCAAGCCAGTACTCTTCCAATCTGATTTTGCCACAGATCCAAATTTAAAATATTAAATGTATATAATTTAAATACCATATACACAGTAATATTTTAAAATACAGACTTAAACTGTGACATTTTCTTTCTTATAATGAAATGGGTTGCTTTTATAATTGATTTATGAAGGAAATTGTACAATTTAAATTTCTTATGGAGATTTTTTAAAAAGAAGATACTAACAAGTTAAGATATAATCCTTGTGAATGCATGTACATCAGTGTTTCTCAAACTTTTTTTCAGTATTGTCCCCTTAAGGATCCTTTTTAGACATTTTTCCTAATCAGCTCCATCCACAAAATTTTAAAACCACAGATCAATTACATATGTTTTATGTATATGCAACTATCTATTCTTTATATAGAAGAGTAAATTCCCTCCCCCAACCAATTTTCTTGCCTCTGTTGAGATGCATGATGTGTTGATGGATGATTCCATAACATTGCTTCCAGTTTTATGATAAATGTCTTTCACATTTTGGTAAGCCTGTTTGTTCCTCCTATATAATATAATTCATCTGCTTATACTTACTAAGTTTTTCAGACTTGTTTTGCACTCATTGGAGAAAAGGGCATGACTTGGGATACTATTAAGCTGCAGATAAACATGTACACAGCACCAGTTTTACTTGGCGCCTTCCTGGGAGTTTTAAATATCGTTCTGATCCTTACTATATTAAGGTAATTAGAAATGATGAAAGTCCTTTTATAGATTGTGAAATTAAATAAGCATTATCATCATTGAAGGATAATTATTCCTGTGAAGTCTCTTTTGGTTTTTGATGTCTATAGTTGTATTCATATTTTTTGGTCAGCTAACATGTAGTACATATAACTGAAATAATAGACATTCTGATAAATGAGAACAGATTATAAAGTCTTTGAAGATTCAAAGTTTGGTCTTCATTTATTACCTATAGATTTTTAAGTAGGGGAATAGCATGAAAGCAACATTTTAAGTAGATTAATAATTAGTATCAATCTTACATACAAAAGTTACTTGTAATGTATACATATCTCATATAATGGAAGAAACTTTATTAAACTACAGATGATTTGTTACTTTATATTTCTTTAAAATACTTTACTCAAGAGTCCAAAAATATTTATAACTAATGTTTAAAAACATTAAACATTTCAACTGTTTTAAACTTCAAGTATGATTAAGGAAGATCATGTGTGCTTTTAGATGAATTGAGTATTTTCATTTTATATGATAAAATATTTACTTATATCTTTGAAATTTTATTGGTTATATCTCATTGGTAATAATTTCATTACTTAGAAGCCAGTAAAAGAAACTATATCAGAATGTGAAAAATATAGAAGGCTAATAATAAATTTAAGCCATTTATCTATTATACTGTTTTTCATGGATATAATATTTATGTTTTTAAGAGAGCATCGTGTGGATGACTCAGGAAGGCAATGTAAAAATACCAATTTTGAGAAAGGTACGATTAACTTGTTTGACTAAATTACTGTTATATTGTCAAAGTATTTCTAATAATTTTGTCTGGTATTTTACTTGGCTTTTGCCTCTAAGGATAATATAGTGGGTAATTGGGAGAAAATGTTCAAAGTTGAAAGTCATGTAAAATGATTTTTTTTTTTTAAAAAAAAGCATACCTATGTCAGTATTTTTGTTATCATGATTGGCACCATTGCTAAAAATAACTTCATCTTGTTTTCAAAAAGCCAATATCCTAAAACCTTTAAGTTCTTTGGAATGATTTCAGGAACTTCGCTACCCAATGTATCTTTATGTTTTAATCATTTCTTTGTTCCCTAAATCATGGGACTCAGTTTCTCTTTTGCATTTTTATTCTTTTGTATACTCTACAAATACACACTTTCATCTTTCTCTGACTCATAAGTAGGTACCTAATTGATAAGTAGGTAGATCTTACTAAAAAAAATTGTTATTTTAGTATCAATTATGGCCACCATAGGGAGTATCCCCCCATACAAAAGAATGCAATTTAATCCTTACCCTCAAGTAGTTTGTAAAATTGTAGAAAAGGCACAGTGTTGTTTAACCAAGTATTTTCATAGCCATTTAATTTAATTTTCTCGGTAAAACTAGTGGAAGTTAAAGTTATAACTAGTAGTGTGTAGAGCAAAGTGAGATTTAGTAAGTTTTTGAACAAAGGAGAATTATGACAATAATCAGATTCTATGTTAGGCTAACCTAGATGTGTGAAGCCTGAACTAAGAATGGAGAAGGGATAGACAGGTGTTTCTGAAGGAAAAAAATCAAGATTCTTGACGGATTGTTAGGAAATACTAAGGAACAGAGGGGTTAGGAATGAACTCTCCGTCAGGGAGACAGGGAGATCAGAGTGAAATCAGAATCAAGAAAGTAGACGAGCAAGTTTATTACTACACTCCGGAATAGAGCAGGCCTTGACCTAGTGTCAGAAGGCCCCAAATATTCAAAGAAAGTTCCTTTTTATGCGGTTTGCAAGGAGTTTTTAGGAGCGGTATTGTTATTCAAACAAGTGTTGATTGACAGGTTGGCAATGAGTCAATCTAATTACTACTGCAGTGCTCTTTCCCAGAATTCTCCATGATTGCCCACCAAGGGGGGGGCTAAACCGCAATGCAGATTTATTATAATGACTTTATAATAAGTAAAGGTTATGTTGGGGCTCCCCAGGAGCATGCCCAGTTGGACTCTAGCTTGTGGAATGTTTCTGTGGTCTTAGTCCTCCTTCTAGGAATTTTCTCATAGGTGGAAGCTATGGTAGTCTCAACTCCCTAGTCCCAACCTCTTTGTGGTCACCCCGACCTCTGCTCCCACTTATCTCTGACTTCCTGCCCAGCAGAGGGAGTTGTCAAAGACTTCAAATTTTGATTCTAGATCATTGAAAGAATAGAAGAGAACAAGAGCCTAGGAAAGGACCGGCTGAAGCTGAACACACTAGAACTGAGTAAATAACAACTAAAAATATTACAGAGGCATTTGTAATTTTGGCATGAGAGATCAAACTAGAGAGAGAAATTTGGGAGTTACCCAGTGAAGAACAACACTACAGCAATACAGAGAGAAAGGAGGAGAGGATGGATAGATGAAATAAGTGTAGCAAAATATTGTTAAATCTAGGGGATGTATATATAAGGAGATGGTTGAACTTTTTCAAAATAAAAGAAGGAAAGGAAGAAAGGGAGGAAGGGAGGGAGGGAGGGAGGGAGGTGAGGAAATGCCAGCTGTGGGTAAATTGACCTGTTAGGTAAAGGAGATGAACAAATTAAAGAGAGTGTGAGGTTAAGCTGCTGAGAAAAGAAAGAGACAGAAGCAAAATCCTTCAGAAAGCTGAAAGGGAAAACAATATGGTCAGGGCTTCATTGACTTGCATGCCCTTAGGAAGCCCCTGGGAAACTTGTTACAATGCAGATTATGATTCAGTAGGCCTAGGGTGAGGCCTAAGTAGCTTGCCAGGTAAAATACAGGATAAATTTGAATAATTTGGGGGAATGTTCCCAGCCAGTTAAATTTGGCTTTCAGATAGACAACAAATAAGTTTTTAGTATAAATATATCCTAAATATTTCATGTAATTTATACTTAAATTTCTAGTATTGCATGTAACAAAGTTATTATTTATCTCAAATTTAAATTTAACTGGGTAACCTATATTTCTATTTACTAAATCTGGCAAACCTAGTGAGATTTTAGGAACCTACGTTTATAACAAGCTACCATATGAACTGAGATGCTGCTGGTTTACAAACAACACTTTGAGAAGCAAAGATCTAGAACTATATTGATCAGTATGATAGCTACATTTGGCTATTTAAATTTAAATCACATTTAAGAAATTAGTCAACACTAGCTACATTTCAAGTTCTCAGCTGTGGGTATATGTGGCTAGTGACTAACTGTATTGAAAAGCTTGGAGAAAGAACATTTCCGCTACATCTGAGTTCTATTGGAGAGCACTGCTCTAAAGCACAAATGAGGGTTTAGAAAGGTGAGACTTTGCTTTCATAAGATCTTTAGGTACTTCAGAATAATTTTCATACAACAAAAATCATTTTTAAATTTCAGTAAATGTTTAGATAAAATGTGTCAGGTTTTTTTCCTGCTTACTAAAGATGTTATTAAGGGATAGGATTATGATTTCTAATTATATAGTATTTGAATCAATAAGGTCTTTTCTTAAAACTCTTCCAATTATGATACCTGGTGAGTCCCCACAGTCTAGGATTTCTGAGCTTCCCCACTGAAGCCAGCCCTGGGTGAAGACTGCAGGACACTAACCACATAGGAGGAAAAAACCAGTCTAACTTGGGGCAATGTTCCTATTTGATTCAAATGAGTAAAGACTGGCTTGTAGGTGGTGATTGAGAATCAGGGAGTCTATCCAAAATTATAAAAGGCCCACAAGGACCAGAGTCCACCTTGGAAGGGGATCTGGATAAAGGTGACCAGTTTTCTTTGTGTGATCAGAAAGGGAGGTCATAACCCTGTATTGACTGTCTAAGATTCTTAACTGCCCCTAAGTATAGCAGACTGTTTCAGATCTTCTGTATTATTGGAGAAGGAACTCCTCCTTAGGAATCCTGAGATATAAAAAGGCAGCAGGAACTGTTATAAAAAAAATTATAGAAAGTTAGTGTGTCTGAGAAAGGCCACCCCTAAACCCCTCCTAATGCTATACATACATGTAAACATACTCATAAATGAACACACTCTTGTATTCCTTTCCTGGTTTACTCTGAATAAGTGAGTAAACTATAAAATAGTTTGATGGATATATATAAGGAGATGTTTATGATTTCACACCTGTAAGTTATACCAGGAAATAGCTTATATTGTGTAAATTCGCTACATAGTTCAAGGTAAGTCAATAGAGTCACTTTGCCCCCTAATTTATAAAACCACTTTAAATCTTGGTGGTTCTTTACAAAATACATTTCTTTGTAAAAATATAAATGGTAACACAAAGCCTTTTTTTTAAAATGTGGTAGTAACATAAGGATATTTACTAATACTAATTTTACATGACACTGAAATTCAAAATACATATGGTTCTTTACAAAATACATTTCTTTGTAAAAATATAAATGGTAACACAAAGCCTTTTTTTTTAAATGTGGTAGTAACATAAGGATATTTACTAATACTAATTTTACATGACACTGAAATTCAAAATACATAATCATTGAAGTAAATCATAACTGAGAGCTGATTTAATAAATTATTTGAGATCTTCACGAAATCCTCATGAATTTAGGATTTTGGTATGGTAGAAAAAAACAACAACTGAAATTTAAAGCAAGTTTATTTAGTATGAGATCATTTTATAGAATTCGATGAAATACATTCCTATTTTGGATTGAAAGACACCAAATAGAAAATCTGAGTATTTCCTGTGGATAATAGAATTTAAGTATATCTCCTAGGAAGAAAATTCACTTAACTTTTATATGCCATTTAAAATTATTTCTGTCATATAAATTGTTATATTAAACTCTTTTAAACTGCTTTGAAGCCTAAAAATGATTTTAAATGTTTAGTCATAGAATTTGCTACATATAATTTCTGTTATTTTAGTGTCATAAGAAAAATAATGTGTAAGTAATATAATTTTTCTCCTGTTTACTAAAGCAAGTACAGAAGAAATTCAGGTTCCCCAAGGATATATCGATCAAGTTGCTGTTGTAGCCACCAATGTTCTGTTTTTTGTGGTTCTATTTATCTTTGCACTTTTTGAAACGTAAGTTTTCTTTTGTATTCATCTAAATTAGATTATGTAAATAACCTGTATTTCATAATGCGTTATTAATCAGATATATAAATGTTCTCAAAAACTTCATGTAAGGCATATTATTCTCATGATGTGAAAATGTGTATAAATTTTATTCTCTTTAACTTGAATATACTTAATTCTCTGTCTGAAATCTTCCTTCTTATAAAGCAACCTGTTTCACTAGTCTTCACCCTTGCCTTTGAGTTTTTGATAATTTTATGATATAAATATTTGATATATTTATGATAAGTATAATTTTAAAACTTTAATTAGTGTCTTGGTTTAATTAAAATTAAAACTTATAAATACTTACTTATGATATAAGATCTCTGTCTTTTGTAGGTTTTGTTGATCTTAGTTATCATGTGGCTTTTTATTTTCAAAATACCTTTCCATTATATTATTAAAATAGTGTACTCATAAATATTCCAAACACTACTGCTGTATTTCCATATCCACTCCTTTCCCTGGAGGTAACCACTAATACTTCAGTGTGTATGTTTTCAAACATTTTTTTCTATACAACTCTTAAGTATTAGTGTGTATCTATAAAACCAACGTAGAATACATGATAGTATCATTTCACAACTTGGTTTGTTCCCTTATCAATACATGGTAACATTTGTAATGCGCATGCATATAAGTTTGTTGTTATTTTATTTTTTGAATTACTGAGATGTGTGAAAAGTTTCAACTCATCTGAGTTTTGGGGCATTTTTTAAATTGTGGTATAATAAAGATAACAAAGTTTGCCCTTTTAACTATTTTTAATTTTACAATTCAGTGGAATTAAGTACATTCAAAATATTGTGCAGCCATCACCACCATCTATTTCCAGAACATTTTTTTCATTCCAAAGAGAAGCTCTACACCCATTAAATAATAAGTCTCCATTTGCCTTCACCCAGCTCCTGTTACCATTGGTCTTCTTTTTCTCTCTATGAATTTGCCTGTTCTAGGAACTTCACATAACTGGGATCAAACATTTTTCTTTTCCAGTCTTGCTCATTTCATCTAGCATGATATTTTCAAGGCTTACCCACATCATAGCATGTGTCAGAATTTCACACCTTTTTATGTCTGAGTAATATAACATTGTATGTATATAACAAATTTGTTTATCCATTCATCTGTTGACGGACATTTGGGTTATTTCCACCTTTTGGCCATTATGAATAATGCTGTGATTCTGCTCTGAACATTCAAGTACAAGTATCTGAATCCTTGCTTCCTGTTCTTTTGGTTATGTACCCAGAAGTGAAACTGTGGGATCATGCAGTAATTCTATATTTAGCTTATTAAGAAACCACAAAACTATTTTCCACGTCAGCTTATCTCATTTTAAAATAAAAAATAGAGATGTTCTTTTCTTCATTCTTTTAAAGAATGAATATTTTAAATATATTACACTTCCACTTTGAAGCCAGTAAACAGACGGAGATAAAAAGTAGGAAAAGAAGCTTGGCAAAGAAGGAGACAGGTGGTCATATAAAGGAAGAACAATGTTCAAAGGTGTGGAGAAAAATAAACATTCAAAGATAGTAAAAGAGACTGAGGAAAAGAAAAAATCTTAGAAGGTTTTATCCATTATTTCACTGAAAAGAGACAAATTTAAACCAAAACATAACCATGATTATTCACTTAAATGAGAATGGTAGGAAATATGGTTGGTTCATTTCCTTTTCCTGTTTTACAAACTTTGGCAATACGGATATATTACTTATATAATTAAGATCAATATTAAAAAATAAAAACACAAATAGCCAAACATAGTAGCTCATGCATGGAAAAAATATGCTTAAAATGTATTAAAATTTTTGTTTATGTAGATCTGGTGTAATTGTTAAAAGGATGCCAATTCCTGAATGAGTCAGTATAATTATTTAAGCTTCTATTTCAACTTTAAGTAACAATGACTGAAATTTAAGTAAAAAAATAATTTATTTTTTATTTTTCTTAGCATTGTTACTCCGTTAACAATGGATATGTATGCCTGGACTCGAGAGCAAGCCGTGTTATATGATGGAATAATACTGGCTGCTCTTGGAGTTGAAGCAGTTATTGTTTTCATGGGGATTAAATTACTTTCCAAAAAGTAAGTTATATGTCTGGTTTGTTTCAAGTTTAATTTCTTGAAGTGAAACATGAAACAGAGCTAACAATGTAGATGTATGTGTTAGTAAAATAATTTAAGTCTTTTCTTTCATTATGGATTAGTTTTAGTTCTTGAAGTTTTGCAAACATTTAAAATACATTAAGGGATCATATTTCTAACATATGGCATATTTGTTGGTAAAACAAGTTATTTAACAAGAAAATAATTGTCTTCTAATGTATCTTTTGCATGTTATGTTTTTTTTATTAAGGTATCATTGATATACACTCTTATGAAGGTTTAACAAGAGAAACGATGTGGTTATTATTGAGTCCCACTCCATACCCCATTGCAGTCACTGTCCATCAGTTTAGTAAGATGCCACAGAGTCCCTATTTGTCTTCTCTGAGCTACACTGTCTTCCCCGTGATCCCACACACACCATGTGCACAAATCCTGATACCCCACAATACCCGTCTACCTCCCTCCCTCCCCAGCTGCCCTCCGCACCACACCCCTTTGGTAACCACTAGTCCTTTCTTAGAGTCTGAGTCTACTGCTATTTTGTTCCTTCAGCTATTTTTTAAAATTTTGGTATCATTAATATACAATTACAGGAGCAACATTTTGGTTACTAGAGTCCCCCATTATCAAGTCCCCACCGCATACTCCATTACAGTCACTGCCCATAAGTGTAGTAAGATGCTATAGAATTACTACTTGTCTTCTCTGTGCTACACTGACTTCCCCATGCCCCCCACCCCTGCTACATTATGTGTGCTAATCATAATGCCCCTTTTTCCCCTTATGTTTCCCTTCCCACCCATCCTCCCCAGTCCCTTTCCCTTTGGTAACTGTTACTCCATTCATGGATTCTGTGAGTCTGCTGCTGTTTTGTTCCTTCAGTTTTTGCTTTGTTCTTATACTCCACACATGAGTGAAATAATTTGATACTTGTCTTTCTCTGCCTGGTTTATTTCACTGAGCATAATACGCTCTAGCTCCATCCATGTTGTTGCAAATGGTAGGATTTGTTTTCTTCTTACAGCTGAATAATATTCTGTTGTGTATATGTATCATATCTTCTTTATCTATTCATCTATTGATGGACATGTAGATTGCTTCCATATCTTGGCTATTGTAAATAGTGCTGCGATAAACATAGGGGTGCATATGTTTTTTTCAAACTCGGCTGCTGCATTGTTAGGGTAAATTCCTAGAGTGGAATTCCTGGGTCTAATGCTATTTTTTTATATCATTAATATGTACTTACATGAAAAATATTGTGGTTATCAGATTCCCTCCATTATCAAGTACCGACCACATACCCCATTACAGTCACTGTCCATCAGCATAGTAAAATGCTATAGAATCACTCCTTGTCTTCTCTGTGCTATACTGCCTTCCCCGTGCCCCGCCCCACCATTACATAATGTGTGCCAATCATAATGCCCTTATTCCCCTTACCCCTCCCTTCCCACCCACCCTCCCCAGCCCCTTTCCCTTTGGCAACTGTTAGTCCATTCTTGGGTTCTGTGAGTCTGCTGCTGTTTTGTTCCTTCAGTTTTTCCTTTGTTCTTATATTCCATGTATGAGTGAAATCATTTGGTACTTGTCTTTCTCTGCCTGGCTTATTTCACTGAGCATAATACCCTCTAGCTCCATCCATGGTGTTGCAAATGGTAGGATTTGTTTTCTTCTTGTGTCTGAATAATATTCCACTGTGTATATGTATCACATCTTCTTTATCCATTCATCTACTGATGGACACTTAGGTTGCTTCCATTTCTTGGCTATTGTAAATAGTGCTGTGATAAACATAGGGGTGCATCTGTCTTATTCAAACTAGGCTGTTGCATTCTTAGGGTAAATTACTAGAAGTGGGATTCCTGGGTCAAATGGTATTTCTATTTTGAGCTTTATGAGGAACCTCCATACTGCTTTCCACAATGGTTGAACTAATTTACATTCCCACCAGCAATGTAGAGAATTCCCCTTTCTCCACAACCTCGCCAACATTTGTTGTTGTTTGTCTTTTGGATGTTGGCCATCCTGTGGTGAGGTGATATCTCATTGTGGTTTTAATTTGCATTTCTCTGATGATTAGTGATGTGGAGCATCTTTTCATGTGCCTGACGGTGATCTGAATTTCTTCTTTAGAGAAGTGTCTGTTCAGATCCTCTGCCCATTTCTTAATTGCGTTGCTTTTTGTTTGTTGAGGTGCATGAGCTCTTTGTATATTTTGGATGGCAACCCCTTATCAGATGTGTCATTTTTTATGAGTATATTTTCCAATACTGTAGGATGCCTTTTTGTTCTGTTGATGGTGTCCTTTGCTGTACAGAAGCTTTTTACTTTGATATTGTCCCACTTGTTCATTTTTGCTTTTGTTTCCCTTGCCCGGGAAGATAAGTTCATGAAGAAATTGCTCATGCTTATATTCAAGAGAGTTTTGCCTTTATTTTCTTCTAAGAGTTTTATGGTTTTATGATTTACATTCAGGTCTTTGATCCATTTCGAGTTTACTTTTGTGTATGGAGTTAGACAGTAATCCAGTTTCATTCTCTTACATGTAGCTGTCCAGTTTTGCCAACACCAGCTGTTGAAGAGTCTGTCATTTCCTCATTGTATATCCATGGTTCCTTTATCATATGTTAATTAACCATATATGTTTGGGTTAATATCTGGACTCTCTATTCTGTTCCACTGGTCTGTGGGTCTGTTCTTGTGCCAGTACCAAATTGTCTTGATTACTGTGCCTTTATAGTAGAGCTTGAAGTTGGGAAGTGAGATCCCACCTAATTTACCCTTTCTTCTCAGGATTGCTTTGGCTATTCAAGGTCTTTTGTGGTTCCATATGAATTTTAGAACTATTTGTTCCAGTTTGTTGAAGAATGCTGTTTGTATTTTGATAGGTATTGCTTTGAATCTGTAGATTGCTTTAGGCAGGATGGCCATTTTAACAATATTAATTCTTCCTAGCCAAGAGCATGGGATGAATTTCCAATTATTAGTACGCTCTTTAATTTCTCCTAGGAGTGTCTTGTTGTTTTCAGGGTATAGGTGTTTCACTTCCTTGGTTCAGTTTATTCCTAGATATTTTATTCTTTTTGATGCAATTGTCAATGGAATTGTTTTCTTGATTTCTCTTTCTGCTAGTTCATCATTAGTGTTTAGGAATGCAACAGATTTCTGTGTATTAATTTTGTATCCTGTAACTATGCTGAATTCAGATATTAGTTCTAGTAGTTTTGGAGTGGATTCTTTATAATTTTCTATGTACAATATCATGTCATCTGCAAACAGGGACAGAGTTTAACTTCTTCCCTGCCAGTCTGTATTCCTTTTATTTCTTTGTGTTGTCTGATTGCTGTGGCTAGGACCTCCAGACTATGAATAAAACTGGGGAGAGTGGGCATCCTTGTCTTGTTTCTGATCTTAAAGGAAAAGCTTTTAGCTTCTCACTGTTAAGTATGATGATGGCTGTGGATTTGTCATATATGGCATTTATTATGTGAAGGTACTTGCCCTCTATCCACATTTTGTTGAGCATTTTTGTCATGAATGGATGTTGAATTTTGTTGAATGCTTTTTCAGCAAGTATGAAGATCATTTTTGTTGATGTGGTAGATGATGTTGATTGATTTTTTAATGTTGTACCATCCTTGCATCCCTGGGAAGAATCCCACTTGATCATGATATATGATCATCTTAATATATTTTTGAATTTGGTTTGTTAATATTTTGTTGAGTATTTTTGTATCTATGTTCATCAGGGATATTGGTCTGTAATTTTCTTTTTTTGTGGTATCTTTCCCTGGTTTTGGTATTAGAGTGATGCTGGTCTCATAGAATGAGTTTGGGAATATTCCCTCCTCTTCTAGTTTTTGGAAAATTTTAAGAAAAATGGTTATTAGCTCTTCAGTAAATATTTGATAAAATTTAGAAGTGAAACCATCTGGTCCAGGTGTTTTGTTCTTAGGTATCTTTTGGATTACCAATTTAATTTCATTGCTAGTAATTTTTATATTCAGATTTTCTGTTTCTTCCTAGGTCAGCCTTAGAATGTTGCATTTTTCTAGAAAGTTGTCCATTTCTTCTAGTTTATCCAGTTTGTGAGCACATAATTTTTCAGAGTATTCTCTATTAAATCTTTGTATTTCCTTGGTGTCCATAGTGATTTTTCCTTTCATTTCTGATTCTGTTTATGTGTGTAGACTCTTTTTCTTGATTAAGTCTGGATAAGGGTTTATCTACTTTGTTTATTATTTTCTCAAAGAACCAGCTCCTGATTTCATGGATTCTTTGTACTGTTTTATTCTTCTCAATTTGTATTTTTCTGCTCTAATCTTTATTATGTCCCTCCTTCTACTGACTTGGGCCTCATTTGTTCTTCTTTTTCTGGTTTCGTTAATTGTCAGTTTAGACTGTTCATATGGGATTGTTCTTCTTTCCTGAGCTAAGCCTGTATTGCAATATACTTCCCTCTTATCATGGCCTTTGCTGCATCGCACAGATTTTGCAGTGTTTAATCATTGTTGTCATTTGTCTCCCTATACTGCTTGATCTCTGTTTTTATTTGATCATTGATCCTTTGATTATTTAGCCACATGTTATTAAACCTCCATGTGTTTGTGGGCTTTTTCATTTTTTTTCTGTAATTCATTTCCACTTCCATACCTTTGTGGCCTGAGAAGTTGGTTGGGACAATTTTAATCTTTTTTAATTTAGTGAGGCTTTCTTTGTTGCCTAGTATAAGATCTATTCTTGAAAATGTTCCTTGTGCACTTGAGAAGAATGTGTGTTTTGTTGCTTTTGGATGGAGTTTTCTGTTGATGTCTGGTCCATCTGTTCTAATACATTGTTCAGTGTCTCTGTGTCCTTACTTATTTTCTGTCTTGTTAATCTGTCTTTTGGAGTGAGGTTTTGAAATCTCCTAGAATGAATGCATCACATTCTGTTTTGCCCTTTAATTCTGTTAGTATTTGTTTCACATATGT